ATACTGTACATAATAACTAATGCATAGTCCAAAGTTTATATCGGATTATAGTAAGTCAACCAGTAAAATGAAATTAAATAGTAAATATTTATGGGCAGCTTATTTTAAATGCAACGTTCTTTATATTAACCGATTAAATTAACGCGAATAAAATAACAATAAATAGTAAACATTTCATTAATAAATTTTAGTAAATTAACGCGAATAAACTGACATTAAATAGTAAACAATTCATTAATAAATTTTAGTTTGTTTATTTCAAATACTTAAATGAAATAGTAAATATTATTATTTATGAACTTGAATAGCTTATTTTAAATATTTAGACTAATAAATGGTTTTTATACTCGTTAGATGCGATGTAAGAGAAAATGTCGGAGAAGTACGTAGTGTGTACGTAGTATATAGTGTAGTATTACTGTATACATAACATAATAAAATTTTTATTCTTATATAAAAAGAATTTTTGTTACGTATTATGTATTAAATTTTTTTAAGTACAGTATAAATTTTATTTTCCACTAACCAGCCAGGTCTTATTTTTTTGTAAATTGCCTAATACTAAGATAATTTTTTATATTGTACTCAACTTTTCATATTTCAATTATTTGAAAGAAATTGACGAAATAGTTTAGTTAATTTTAAAAAAACGCTTCAAACGTTATGCGAAAAGACAATACTTATTATTAATAGAAAATGGCATTGAAAAATTTATCATACTATATAATATTAAATATTCACGTTGCAGAGTAACTATTTTTTGTAAGATAAATTTATCCATAGTATATTAAAATAAATATATATATATATATATGTACTTTATATTTAAAATGAAAAAAATAATCTCCGATTAAGCCATTAATGAGCTTCTTTAACTCCATCAATGATACAAAAATAATGATAAATAAATTTATCAACACGATTGTTTATTATGATTGAGTTTTTAACACTAAGAGTAAAATAATGAATTGTTTAATTTATTTTGCTTTGTTAATAATAGAAGAGTGAGTAAAAAAGAAAAAAAAACCCAAGAGTTTTTACGATTTGTAAATAGCAAAAGCTAAATAGAAATCCCGATTTTTATATAATTATTTTTAATGTGTTCACAATGATATCATATTTGTCTCTCTTAGAGTTAGTGTAAAATACTGATGTGAAATAGATAAATAAAAATATCAGTGTTTTTTCTTTTTGCGTTTCGTTTTTTTCGCCTTAAATCCAACATTTTTTGAGAATTTTTGTTAAAAAGGTCAAGAACTATGGGAAAGAGAAAAACAAAGCAGGAGGTAGATGAAGGTAAAGATGGTGGTCTACCATATTTCTCTAATGAAAATGAATTAATAGAAAAGAAAGAACATGCAAATATTGATACTCAAGTTGACAAAACCGGTGAAAATACTGGGAATAATGAAATCAAAAAGGATACTACTAAACAAACCACAGAAGAGGATGGAGGAAAGGCGAGTTCCACAACTGAAAAGGTATATTTGCTTCTGAGAGCACATTTTACATTCGAGATTCGAAATATTAAAAATCTAAAAATCATGTTCGCTTCAAATTACATATATAAATGATTATAAACATGCTTACAAGAAATTTATTAATCGTTTTTTTAGTCTCAGCCTTCCAAAAAAAGAAAACGCACCACTACTAAAGAGAAAAAAGAGACAGGCGATTCAAAAACCAAACCTCAATTGGATAATACTTTAGATCAAAAAAGCAAAATCAAAAATAATAACAAAAACACTGCAAATAAAGCAACAAAGAAAGAATCAGAACCTAAAAAAAAAGCAAAAAAGAAATCCAGTTCTAAAGCTACTACTGAATCCTCATCCGAGGATGAATTATCCGATACTACTGGCAATTTCCAAACTATGGTGTCAAAAGCTAAAGGTCGTTGGACAGTTGAAGATGATAAATTATTATCTAATCTTGTGTTAGCACATCTTCCAGAAGTTGGTTGGTCAAATATCGCAAGAGAAAATTTTCCTGAAAGAAACAGGAGTTCTTTATATAATCGATGGAATGTTATCAAGAAAAGATTGTGGAATGGTGTTGAATCCAAAGGAGAAGGTAAGGATGAGTAAAATAGAAGGTGCACATTGCCTGAAAAAGGAATAAATGCATCTTCCTTTAGTTAGGTGGAGTTATTTTGCGAAAGTAATGCTAGATATAATATTAATTGTAATTAGAATTATGTTTGTAAAGGTTAGATAATTCATACACAGTTAATTCTTAGTTAATATTTGCTTTCCAAAATATTGATTTTTTTTTTAAAAAAAAAACTTTTGTTCTATATTAAAATTAAACCAAAATTTAACAAAGACTTTATTAGAAAGAAAAATTCATCTAACCTGTCAAAGATCATACTTTCAGTATCAGGTGTGGGGATGAAGCCTTTCTGGTATAATTATGCTATAAGAATGGTATAAGAATGGTATAATTCTGCTATAAGAATGGTATAAGAATGGTATAATTCTGATATAATTCTGCTATAAGAATGGTATAAGAATGTTCTTGATAATAAATGGAATACATTTATGAAACGTCAATCGCAGCTTTAAATTTCATGTATGTTGTGAATAGTGATAGAGCAAATTAAAAGCTAAAATTACTGCGACATTAACATTAACGACATTAATGACATTAAATGATTACCACGTGTAAACGAAATTTTACCCGATTCTTATGGTTCACATAATTTATAGCCGCATATGTAATTAAAAATGATGATTTTTTTTTTATCTCTGCTTAATATTATGCTTCCTGCACTTTGCGTCTCATCCCTTTTCTGTTCTACAAAGTATCCATATATGTATCAGGTATCAGGTATCAGGTATATAAAGCTAATACTAATTATAGAGATATAAAGTTAATACTAATTATAGAGATATAAAGTTAATACTAATTATAGAGATATAAAGTTAATACTAATTATAGAGATATAAAGTTAATACTAATTATAGAGCTATTATTTTAACTTTGAATCTTTAAGTTTCCTTTTTTATCATTTTTGTAATATGTTGGAAAATAATCATTGCCTTTTACCATACATAGATGATAGAAAAATATAAATAAGGTCAGCAAGTGTTCACCTTTGTCAATAAATGTTCTATTCTAATTCGATATGTTTATATATTTTAATGTGGACCCTTTCGCGTTTCAAAGTCGCACGATCACATCACCACATATTACCTGCACAAAATCGCATACATGAGTAATTTATTAATAGGTCCAACAAATTTGGTCAACAAAAAATTGTTTGTTATAGATTGATCACAAAAAAAAAACAAAAACATACGTCAAAACTTTCCGTTAGAAAGGTTTAAACATCTAAAAACCGTTCTTTAAAAGGTGTGTCATCATAATAATCATAATCATAATAATCATAATAATCATAATCATACATTATGCAAACAAATTTTATGTTTATTTAATTGCATAAATGCGCTTCACTGGAAATTAAAAAGTTACCAACATTTTATTACTCTGCATAATTCACATCAAAAATAAATACATACGTAGGTAATTTTAAATTACAATGCTTATATTACTGTTTCTAGATTATAAAGCTTTTTTCTTTAGTTAGATGTAATAAACTTAAAGTCGAAAATCGAACTAAATACCGAAAATGATCGATTCAGGTTAGTACATACATATATTCCAGTCGACAATGTGGATCTACTTGATGCATGCATGCATATATTAAATTAACCAGTTCTCCCGATCTAGGTCGAAACAGTACGTACGTACTTGTATCAGAATTAAGCGTCAAACATATGAAACAAAAGAACCTATCAAGTAACAAAAATATTCCTTGCATATAATATTTGTATTAATCATTACACAAATCATTGCACAAATCATTACACAAATATAGTTAGTAATTTTAAAATTGAATGGTATAACATGTTAATGCACTAAAGATTGAATACAATAATGCGAATAATGCGAAACTAAATCCATTGTTATTGGTTGTTAACCTGTAGTATGCGGTCCGATTAATACAAGCAAATGATTGAATTCAAATGACGCTTTATATTAAATTTATAGCATAAGCAACTGTACTATATTATTACTCTATTATTACTTTATTATTACTCTATTATTACTTTATTATTAATCTATTATTAATCTATTATTACTCGTCGTACAATTAAAATTTTTAAGATTCGTAATGTTCATTTTTCTCTATAATAAAGCTCTGATGATCTCTACATTTGTTTTCACCTTTTCAGCGCGTCGGATTGTCAATTTTATCTATAAGTGAAGTATCCAACGCCATCAATATTTACGTATAAAAAAAAAAAGGGAAAAGGAAAGTTCTTTAGTGAACTTCCACCCTTGCCAAATATATTGCCTTCCCGCCGCTGATTTTACTTTGACGTTTTTTTGGCTGGCACCGTATCCTTTAATATTCATTTTAGGAATGATTAAAGTTTTTTCTTTTGATCCAAATTTGGATAAAGAATCTAGGGTTTCTGTAACATCAAATTTGGATAAAGATTCTAGGGTTTCTGTAACATCAAGTTTCGAAAATATCTGATATCTAAGTGTAAATAATCAAATGATTTCGAAATCTAATATCTTATTATTACAAGATATTATTACAAGAAATTTACAAGTCAAAAATATTATTAATATTATCCTTAATGTGACTAGAACTTTTGTTATTTTTTTTTTCCAGAAAGAATATTTATTCATCCGGAAGGATTTATAACAAAGAAACGAAACGTCATAACAGCCCCAACTGCTGTAAATAAGATAATCGCCTTCCTTTAAATCCGCAAGTTTGTTTTGCCTTTCCTTTTTTTAAAAAATATTTATCAATTAATTATAATCAATTATAATCAATTAATCAATTTATTATATTCTATCGAAATTACAATTTTTAGATTTGTTAAAACAAATTATTTCATATGATACGATCTATGGAAGCCATGCTGCAAACATATCGTCGTTCGAGTGAATCCGTCGTCACACATCAAGTTTCAAGATCTATGCGCGTAAAACTTGACGACCAACGTCGTTCAAGTGAAACGAAAAAGAGTGATATAATTGCAGCTAGAAGACATGCTACGTATGAACTGAATTGGTATGACTATAATAAGTCTAATATGAAAGATGTAGATTGTATTGAAGTTTCTGCACAAGATACGAATCAGATTTTCTCTGAATCTCTTGTACAATCTCCTACAACTTCTCCTATGTTACAAGAAAAAATACCTGCCCCTTCAAATATTACAAATTCCAAGAATTTGGAAAGAGAAAGCACGTGTTCACGTGTATCAGAACAAGATCATCCATTTCTTGGTGGTATTACTATAACTACCGTTCAAGTTGTTGAAGTTGAAAATCAGAATTCTCGGAAAAAAAATATTTCGAATATTAGCTCTTCTTTACCACGTAAAATCGATAATAATATCAGTAAATCAAATGTTATTCAAGTTTATGAGGTTCAGAATAATATCAGTAAATCTTTTACAAATGTTATTCAAGGTTCTGAGGATCAGCATGTAAAGTTTCCTAAACCTTTAGAACCTCAAGTTGTTTTAAAACAGAAAGATCGATCGAGATCAAGAAAACCAACACATATAGTAAAGACTAAGAGGCAAAGTCGATTGTATGATGCAAATGCGAGCGCGCAAGCATATTCAAAAACGGTAGTTTTGTCTTCAAAACGTTCATCCCTGGGTCACTTTAATTCAACTTATATGCAAAAATTACCTTCAAAAGAATCGGTATCTAATAATCCTAGTTCTAAAAAAATGATTAGGAAAAAACGTGTGTTGGTAAATTCCACAACATGTAATCCTTCATTTTCAAATGATCCAACCGATATGGAAAGTGACATGCCTATATCAAATAATCAAGGAAATCGATGGTTACCAACTCGTCATAGTGTACCAAAACTTCTTCACGCTTCTCTTATACCTTTATCTCAACACGTCAAGAATGGTTCTGTCGTACATGTATCGCCTAGATTAAAACAGTTAACTCGTAAAAACTCAATAAGGAGACGTTCATCTGTCATAGTTCCACCAGTTAAACGACGTGTCTCTCAAATATTCAGACAACAATTATTAGAGCAAAGTATATTAATGTCATTTAATGATCTGCAACCAATTACCAAAACGCGTCATGTACCTAGAGGTAAACAAATACGAAAAGCCAAAAAAGGTGTTAGTGCGAAATTAGATCATGAATTAAGACGAGAAAGACAGAAAAGAAAAAACCTTGGAAAACATTCAGGGCAACTTACAAAAAGAAGTCATGATTCAATTCTATCTTGTAAGAATCGACAAAAAGTACAATCAGAACAATCAGAATCGAAGGCTGTAAATGTTTTATCAATTCCAAGAATTTTGGATACGGATGAATTAGTTAAAAAGGTTGATGAAGAACTTCGTAAAAAAGAAATTTTGATGTCTCCAAGACCACCACCAAGACGAATAGTTCATGGATTGCCAACTCCTGATTCCATTCCATCAACTCCTCAGACTAAGAGTAATACTTCTTCATTACTTGCTTCGTTACCAGACAGAAGGTCTGTAAAGTCTGATGAAATAATACCCATTGAACCACCACCTTTTCCAACTCACCTAACACATAAAGCCATGCCTTTTCCGGCTTTCCAATCACAAAATGGATCAATGCGAACGCTTCCTACCATTGATACCTTCCAATCACAAAATGGCTCAATGAGAACGCCTTCTACAACTGATACCCGCCAATCACAAAATGGATCAATAAGAACACCTACAACTGATACCCGTCAATCACAAAATGGATCAATGCGAACACCTTCTACATTTGATACCCGTCAATCACAAAATGGATCAATGCGAACACCTACATTTGATACCCGTCAATCACAAAATGGATCAATGCGAACACCTTCAACAATTGATACCCGTCAATCACAAAATGGATCAATGCGAACACCTTCTACAATTGATGTTTTTACTAATTAAATGACCTGCTGAGACAAATATCATTTTCGACCAGTTTGATATATTAGAAGATTATAGAGACCTTTCCTTTTCTTTGAATATTTGCAATAATTGATGTAATGGTGGTATTTTTTATTTTAGATGCTTTGTTATTACATATTTATATCATAGATCGTGTTATATCTTATTTATACCCCTTTCATCCTATTTATCGTATTTATATTTTCACTGGATACTTCATTTATTTAGATAATAAAAATAAGTTATAAGAAACTTTGATATGTATTATCAAAGTTACTGTATACACGTAATTTGTGTGGCGTTCAATAACAAGTAACTATATACTATATATAATATCAATTATACTAATTAATAATGACCTAAAAAAGTCCTAAATGTTTGCACTTAAATATATTAGTTTAGAATTATGTCGTTAAAAAAAATTTATTTGGTATATTAAACATTTACTTAGAACTTCAAGTCACAATTACAAATGTGTCAAAGACGCGTACTATGTGCCCACCGCCCGATTTGGAAATCACGCTTTTTATCATCACGTCGAATTTACACGCGTGTAACGTTAAAATTAAAAATCACGTTTATCTTGAAATTTCGCTTATGAAACTAACTTCTTCGTTCTAACAAAAAAATTCCTCGCGAAATTTTAGTATATTTTTTTTCTAAAACTCTACTCTTACCTTAACACTAGCCCTAATACTAATTAGCAGAGGTCTTTTTCGAAGTTTAACGGCTGCCCTACCTTGTTTAGTGCGTCGAAAGTGCGTCGAGTGTAACCCAGG